GTTTACTTGGGCTCTGCATGACCTCACATTCTGCACATGAGTGATCCTCACATTAACATGGCATACAACGGCCACGAGTTTATATGTTGCTCTGCTACTGAAGAGTAGGATCTAGTTACTTCAGCCACTTTTGGATTCAAGGGGTAAGTTAGTCAGTTACAATCGCAGAACCGTGTAAATTAGTTCGGTATATTCTGTAAACTACTGAAACGAATCGGTAAGGCACCGTTCCAGGCTAGATTTAAAAGTAGTGGTTACGATAGCAGGGGCGGGCGGTTAGTGCCAACGTCACTGAAGGAAGGGCTGCCAGAGGGCGTTCGGCCACAGGCCGCTCAGCCCTTTCACCAATGACGTTGGCAGTGACCGCCCACTGCCTTTAAGCACCAACGTTTTAACTTCAAAAAGCTTTTGAGATGACTTCTGAACTTTTGAAAATAAAACTTTTAGAGTTTGGTTTTGTTGTTATTGGTGAGCAATTTTATCACTGATAAGGTAACCTTGGAACGAACTGGAGGTTTACTAAGAAATATTCATAATAAATTTCAGCTTGCGCTACATGCGACCCAAGTGCCGTAACATTTCTAACGGCTACAACTCCCGACGCTATAGGTTGGAAAGAAAGTCCTGTCAGTGTTTTTTAGATAGCCTACAGTTTTTGATCTTCGAAGCTCGAACATGACGTAACATGCTAAGGTTGTAGAACATTCTCGAAGCTTTTCCACAAGAGGTATATCAAGGCTCCTGCTCTTCCCTGTGTTTATTTATGATGTCAGTTTCACTGGAGCAGCTTCGAGTGATCATCTTCTATGAGTGGCGCCGCGGCACTGGAGCGACGGCGTGACCACGTAACATCAACTGTGCATTGGGGGAGGACACCACCACCGTCAGGACTGTCCACCGTTGGTTCGGTCGCTTCGCGAAAGGAGAGACGGTCTCCGAAGACAAACCTCGTCTGGGACGCCCTCGCGGCGTAGAAGATTCCGCCGTTCTCGAACCTGTCAGAGAGGATCCAGAGGCTACCACGCGCAGTATTGCGACAAGGCTAGGGTGTAGCCATACAACAGCTCTAAGCCGCCTTCAGGCCCTTGGCTACAGAAAAGTCCTCACGCGATGGATACCTCATGCTCTAACAGATGGCACGCGGTATGCCAGGGTGAGCATCTGTCGATCCCTCCTTCTACACCGTAACCGGAAGGAGTTTCTGGAAGATATTGTGACTGGAGATGAAAGCTGGGTCCTCTATGATTCCAACCTACGTCGTGCCATGTGGCTCCCTCGAGGAGAAGACCCGCCTACGCAACCCAGATCGAACCTGCACTCCAAGAAGGTCCTCCTCTGCTGCTTCTGGGATTCGAAGGGCATGCTGCACCACGAGCTGCTTCCGCAAGGGCAATCAACGGTTACCCTGCTACCGTTTACGCTGGCCCAACTCCACAACTACGCGCAAGCTCTTCGAGAGAAGCGGCCGAGACGAGCTTCGGTGCACCTCCTCCATGATAACGCCAGACCACATGTGGCTAAAGAGACCACCGCCAAATTGAGGAGCTAGGCTGGGAGACCCGTTCCCCATCCTCCATATTCTAACAGACGCCGATTGCCCCCCTCCGATATCTACTTGTTCGCTCCGCAATCAACGGCTTTCTCTAGGTAAGAAACCGTTCCAAGCGAATTGATGCCTATCATCGCGAGAAGTTGCCTACTTCTTCGACTCGCAGCCTCCTCAGTTCTGGGAGAAGGGGATAGCTGAGTTGCCCATTAGGTGGAGCACTGTAGTGGCTAACAATGGCGATTATATTATTGATTAGTTTTTATTTCATGTTGAGTTAGAAAATAAAAAAGAAAAAATCACAACAGTGACAGGACTTTCTTTCCAACCTATATATTTTGCGTACATCTGTGCCCCTTTAGTGGCTCTAGCAAATCTGGCACTTGTGGCGTCTCTATTCGTTGAATAGCTCGTAGAGAGTTACAGTCCTGCTCGCTGCTGATGCTGTGGGGGGGTCGCTTTTTTTCTACTATTGTGAAAAACTGGCTGGCGACGCCCCATGTCATGCCCCAGCATCCGCAGCGAAGAAGGCTGCAGATCATCCAAGCTTGGGCGTTGAGGAGATGGCCTTTCTCGAACGCTTTCTGCTGCATCCAACACCACAGATTGCCGCAAGAATATAAGGAGAAGAAGCAATGTCATCGGATCGGACCGGGCTAATTTTGGTGATCGCTCTAGCAAAATAATAACCATTAGTGAGCTGCTCTTTCCTCATGTGTGATCCTCCGCACTAAACGGTCGAAACGACCACCAATTGACAACCTCCTGGGCGGAATTCTTCGCAAAATATGTCCTCGCCAGAATTTTCTCCTCTGGTACGGCGGCGCTTCTCATCCCCATCGGTCTCTCGCATATGTACATTTATGAAACATACATATATCTTCCAGTTCAAGTGGTGCCATCGGGGGACCCGCAAGGTCAGGCAACGCAACAGTGACAGCACTTCTCACTTGCCGAGCTGATCAAAAATGGTACTTCTCGGATGGAACATCTGCGCTGTAAGTATTAAACGATGTTGAGTTCACTAAACAAAGACCGCTCTGAGGTTCCCCCTCTTATCGCATAATTCTTGTACGTCAATACTGATATTTTTAGCAAGCTCTATAATATTATGGTGGGTGGCACCGCAACTAAACCTCCTCAAAACTAATGACTAAATATTGGCCAAATATTGTGATTCACTGTCGAACACCTATAGAAAAAGTAAACTTGTAGAAGGTCCCCAATTAGTCGCTCAGTCCTAAATGGTAACAGAGGTGCTACACCCTGTATCCTACGGTAAGATGGGTCGTGATCACGGACTCAGCCAATATCGCACTGTGACCGCTATCCCCAGGATTTCGCCTTTCAAAGTATTCAGACTTCAAGGGGCTTCAGTTAGTTGAGCTCATCAAGGTTTCGAATGTGGGCAGCGATTCCTTCCCACAGGCGGCACTACACGCGGATTCCAAGGCCGCCTGTATGCGATGCCATAACCATGAGTGGCGCAATAACGACCCACTTTTTCTCCAGTGTACAGAGTGTATATCGCGGGCGAAACTAAGGAAACTGAAGCGCCAGTTGCCTCTAAATTGACGCCTTTTCCAATTTTCCTGAGTTCCAGCAGTGAGTTCGCATAAACTTGGAAGTAGCATTGGATTTATCCGCATGCGCCAAAATTCTTAGATCGGCAGACAATTTATTCAACTCGCAAATAACTTCGGGACCTCTGTGCCAACGTTTTTTCTCTTCGGCTCAGTATGACGGATATACACAACGTCTTGTATAATATATCCTTTCCAGTGCCGTCACGGACGTTGGCTGCTCCGTTATTCCCGAAGAAAACGGTAGGCTTCAAATACTACCAAGAGTTCGTTGTTCACAAAGAAAAAACTAGAAAGCAACTAATCACCAAACAATTCCTAGATGAAGCATTCAGTGTGCAGGCTTCTCTGCGGGTAATGAAGTGTGTCAGAGGCTTGTCAGGAGACTGGGCTTGGCGCGGTGTTAGCCCTTTGTCTTCCGATTGTCAAAGCTGACAGAGGACCACAAGTGGTGAAAAAGTGGCTGGCGCTGCGCCAGACCAAGTCGCCCTGACACGCCCCAATGTCCGCGGCAAACGAGAATGTAGACTGTCGAAAGTCATTTCTACTGATGAATGGGACTTCTTCCAGTGATATATTTTGACTCGAAATTTTCCTTTAGCCTGCGGCACGTGTGCTGAAGAAGCGGTCACTTTCCAAATGGCAATGTTACCCGAAGAAGTGAATGCCATGAAGCAGTAAGTTTGTGCACATTCTTACAAACTAACAGCCTGTCAGCCGCTTCATTCATCCGGCTGTTTTTCAAAACCCCATTCAAGATTCTTTCAGTGGAGTTGGGTCTTGGCAGATAACCCGGAATCGTATATGAGCATCGGCGATCCGACAAGGCCATGCCTATCGCGTCACCCGTAATCTACCCAAACTCAGTTGAAGTCAGTACCAGTCAACCCACGTGTAGCAATATCCATTCAGTGGTTTCAGGCCTGACCATACGTCTAGTCACGCCCCCTTCCATCGTAGTATTGTTACTGAGTGTTTCCGTGGAACTTGCATGAAATCCGGGAGACGGGCAAGAGAATCGTGATTTGCCGCTCCGCCGATGGGCGCGGCGTTTTCTTAACTCGTATTAACCTGTCGATTGGAGCACCGAACTTCATGTAGACCCCGTCATTGTAGACATTCATGAACATTTCGGTTCTGAATTGCCTGTTGTCGCCATCTACTACCTGAACCATCGTCATTTGGCGCGACGTCGCACGCGCCCACAGCGCGGCGAATTACGATTCTCTTGTCACATACCCGTAAAATCCACATGTTCAGAACACTGCCTGACACGGCTGAAGGCTGCAAACAGATGAATGCTATTTGTCAAGCGTCACCAGGAAAAACTGCTTTTATGGAGGTAAGCCATCACATCAGGTAGAACACCTACACCGTTGGGGTGTTTTTCTGTCACACTACTAGGGCATGTCCTGTCGTTGGGGCAATTTTCGCAAACGACCCTCCTCCTTTCCAATACCCCCCCCTCCTAGTTACCACCTTGATAAATTTCCCTAACTTCCTACCCTTTTCTGAAATTTTTTGTCATAGATTTCTTGTTCTCCCCAAAAGACTGCATCGGGAGAGGGAAGGGGGTGGTGTCAATGGGGTAGACAGAGCACATGAAACAGGAATAACCGAGGAAAGTCAACAATTGAAAACTTTGCTTAAAGGCAGCGACGACCCCCCCCCTCCCCTCTCACCTTCCTACCTCCCTCTAGCCCTCAAAATATGACCCCCCTGGCTGGAAATTCCAGCGTACGATGTGCCCTGCTCACTACACTGCGCATATTGCTAATACAAACGTTCTATTGCAGTTCAACAATGCCATCGGTGGTCCGACGATCGCAGAGACCGTCACTTCTCTATTGACCTGTCGCGATGACATGAAATGGTACTTCACTTTCATGGGAAACTCGTTGTAAGTTACACGTACCAAACTAATATTTTCTTCTTCTTCTTCTTCTTTAGCGTTTGTCCCGCTCAGCGGCGGGGTCCGCTCTTCTAATGTGACGACGCCACTTTTCCCGGTCAAATGCCTGATCGGGGTGAATTCCAGCTATTTTCAAGTCTGTATGCAACGTATCGAGCCAGCGTTGTCTGGGACGTCCCCTAGGTCGCTTTCCGGGCACCTCAAGCTGAAGGCCAGTCTTACAGACGGTGTCAGCCTTTGCGCGAAGTACGTGGCCGTACCATCGAAGGCGCGTTTCTCGCATTTTGTCAGCTATAGGAGCTACGCCGAACTTCTTGCGTATTACTTCGTTACAAATGCGGTCCAAACGCGTGACGCCCGCAGTCCAACGCAACATTCTCGTCTCCATCACACTTAGACGGGCTTCGACTTCTTTGGTAGCGGGCCAGCACTCGGCGCCATATAGGGCGACTGGTCGAACGACACTTCCAAGCGGAATGCTGTTGAACTTCGTGCCCATGGAACTTTGAAAGGAGACCTAGGTACATCGATAGAGCCTCGAATGCTGATTACGAATGTACAGGTTAAAAGGCTACGGGGACCTCCCAGACAAGATCTAGGAGGTCAAAACTTGCGAAAACTCAGTTTTGCTCGTAAGCGCTTGTGATCGATGTGTGTCACTGTTCACCGTTGGCTTTTGTGGTCGACGGTCTCGCCTTTCAAGAACAAACGCACGCGGGTTACATTACCGGTTGCGCGCGCAAATTTTTGCTTCGCTCCCTATAAGAGCTCTAACTCTAATTCTCGAAATTCTTCCGAGTTTATGGCCCGTCAGGGCAAGTAGATAAAGTAAGTATATGACGTACTCGATCTAGTATTGATTTGGTCATATCTGCTCTCCCTGAACATATTACCCATCCGACAATTCAAAGTTTTTTCCCAGAAGACAATGTCGGTTCAGACGAGCGTTTTGGTGGAGATTAGTGATATTTGTGTTCAGGGGGGTACGAAAATGCTCCACGATGAAGAGTTTCTCGCCAAAAATTTCGATATTGTGCGGAATGGGTTAGATCAGTGTTCAGGAGCGGAGATATGAACTGCAAACCGATGTGTAGATCGAGTACGTCATATACTTGATGTACTTTATCTCTGCTTGCCCTGCCGGGCCGTAAACTCGGAAGAATTTCAAAAATTAGCGTTAGAGCTCTTATGGGGAGCGAAGCAAAATCTGCGCGCCAACCGGAGAGCATGCAAACCCGCATGCGTTTGACTTGAAAGCGAGACCGTTACCACGAGGCCACGGTGGCACTGCCGAGACATCGATCAGCAGCGCTTACGAGCCAAAACTGACTTTTCGCAAACTTTGACCTCCCAGATCTCGTCTGGGAGGTCCCCGTAGCACTTTTAATCTGCATATTCGTAATCAGCATTCGAGGCTCTATCGATGTACCTAGGTCTCCATTCAAAGTTCCATGGAACTCCAAACCATTCCCTCGTTAGATCTTCGACTTCAACGTAGATGCTTCGACTTTAGCCGTTCTGACATCTTCCTGTCGCAGAGGATCCCCGACATGCATCGCCATTTTGCCCACGCTGCACTCACCCGTGCGCTCACCTCCGTTTTGAGATCTCCATCGGACGTAATTGCTGATCCCAAATACTTGAATGTTTTTGTGCGCGTGAGCTCAGTGCCATCGATTTTAATGGAGCCCGTCTCGGCTGGGTCGGTTGTCAGGTACTCGGTCTTATTCACGTTTAACCTGAGCCCAAACTTTGCCAGGCGATCAGCCCAAGCTTGCACTTGCTGCTCCAGCGTGCTTTTGTCTTCGTATGCAAGCATCACATCATCAGCGTAAAGGAGCGTCCAAGGAATTTCCTTCTGAAGGTCTCGTGTGATGGCATCCATGACGATAACAAAAAGTAGTGGAGAGAGAGCGGAGCCTTGATGTACCCCAACGGTGATGGGAAATTCCATCGAGGTGCCTGCAAGAGTCCGCACTTGGCTCTCTGGCTTTGAATAAAGGATGCGGACCCACTCGATTAGCTCTTCAAGGGACACACGGTTTGTTCGCAAGCGATACCATATAAACGTTCTCGGCGTGACGCGAGATCAAGATCCTTTTCCAGATCTAGGAGGCTTACATGCACAGGCTTTCTTGCTTCTCGACGCATGTTCTCAGGCAAAAGGCGAGCAGCGTGAATGGCGTCGATGGTGCTACAGCCAGTTACGAAGCCACACTGGTTGGAAGAGAGCTGGACGATGTCACGAATACGGCCATCAACAATTCGCTCAAAGATTTTCATAGTGTGCGAAGAAGCGATGCACGAAGTGGACGGTAGATTGGAGCAATCTGCTGTGGACTGCCATCTGCTTCTTCCTTCCTATCGTGCGAAACCGTCGTGCTTTGCAACCAGTCCTTGGGTACCTTCTTCTCTGCAGTGATTTGGTTGAAAAGCTTTGTCAACCATTCTGCGGAGTACCAGTGCTGTGACTTCCATAAGTCGCTGCTAAGTCGTCGGGGCCTGTAGCTTTACCAGCCTTCATCTTCTTCAGAGCCGCTTCTGTCTTCACAACGGAAATATTCCGAGGGGCCGTATATTGGTGCCGCGGAGGGGATAGGCGGATGGGTAAATTCCTTTGTCGAGATCTTCTCGAAATAGTCGTGCCATCGCTGCAATACCCTCTTTCGGTTCATCAGAAGATGGCCATCCTCGTCATTGATGCCAAAAAACTTTTCTATGTCTTCGGTTTGGCGGTGACGAGACTTGGCAAGTCGGTACAAGTGCCGCTCACCGTCGCGAGTCTCAAGTTTCTTGCTGACATCGTCAAAATGAGCGGCCTTCACTACGGCGACCGCCTTCTTTGCCGCAGTCCTCGCTTCCTGGTACTTCCGCCAGTTGCCAGCCGTCTTGTTTTCAAGAAACACGTGATAAAGTTTCTTTTTCGCTCGAACCTTCGCCTGGACGTCATCCGTCCAAAGCCAAGGCTGCTTGTCAATCCTACGCCGCCCAGGCTTGGTCATGCCGAGTTCTGAACGAGCGGCCTGGATTATCGATTCAACGGCTTTGTTCCAAGTTTCTTCGACAGTCGTGACCTCCGGTAAGCGGATACGAGAAACCATGGCTGCCTCCCGCTCTTTCAGTCGCCACCATTTGATCCTCTCGGAGGGGCACACCGTCATGGTGTTTCGATTGGGTGCTGTCAATTTTAGCGTGCCGATCAGCGGGCGGTGTTGTGGGGCAACTGTCTCGTACGGCACGACCTTAGCGTCTAGCGTGTATAAAATGTAAAACAGAAGTGAGGATCATTGGTTTCACTGTTAGTTTTGCTGCTGAGGCTGGGGCGTGTCATAGGACTGGGTTTGGTGCACTGTCAGCCCGTTTTCTACCAATTGTCGTCGCTTGCTCGCCTCGGCAATTGGTAGAGAACAGGTTGGCGGCGAGCCAAACTCAGCCCCCTAACACGCTCCAGCATCCACAGCGAACAAGACCATACATTAGATCTAAAGAGCTAGAGGATTTGAATGTCGTTCTTATATTAGTATATTTGGTGAACTCTTTTGATCGTTTATCACAGTACTTTCCGTTACTTGTCAGTAAATCATTAGCGACTCACTTCACAGCAACGCTCAACGAACAATTCGCTATGCACTGACAGCCTGAATTGAGCAGGGTACAGAAAGGCTGCAGAATGTCCGTCTTGATACGTATATGGCTCTTATTCGTAATCTCAAGCACTATCCCCCTTCTCCTCTAGTGCTCTCACTGCGACGCCAGACCTCTAATTACTATTTGTTGCGCTTCGAAGTCCCCATGGGCCTTGCTCAAAGACCGAACCCATTATTGTGCTATTGACATTCATTATTCTGTTTTCATTTACCCTAAACTTGTTCTATTGTATTTATTTATTTATTTTTGTTACAACCCGTACTAATAAGATTCTCGAGCAAAGAATCCCGCCAAAACTCATAAACTCTATTCAGAGGAAGGGCCACCATCATCATGACCTTCTGCCATCAATCAGCAGACAAGGGCATGTGAGTATAGTTCATATCATCACAATCACTCTGGGCGGTGTCATGAGAGGCGGGAATAAGCCTGCCATTTTCTGCCAATAGTGTCTAGTCAAGGATCGATTCGCGACACGAAAAGACAACCCACGTGAATCAAACGCTTTCATTGGGCTCACGTCCTATCTTTTTGACATCACCGAGTGGCTTGCGAATGAACATCAGCTGCACCACTTTTCCGATCAAAAAAAGAGCATAGGAATTGAATTTTTTGGGGTTGCCTTCCAAAAACTCGTATAATGTTAGCCTTAATTAATTTCATATCTTGGGTCTTCCTAAAGCTGCTCTTGATATTAGTTCACCACCCTTACCAGCCCTTACGCTAGGCTTAGGGAGAGGGAAAGAGGGTATGATCCGCATGACCTGGGGATCAACTCCTGGGTTTGTCCCATGAGAGTCGTGTCCTCCGTTGCAATCAAAAAGCCACTGTGGTCCTGAATAGAAGTAGAATGCGAAGCGCATTCCATGAATGGATCGGTCCGTATCAGAGCTTTTCATTTCATTCCGTGAAAAGCCCCAAGATTCAAGGAAGAGCCCTTGAGTCCATTTATAAGGGTATAACTGGCTCCAGCAGAATTTTGTGCTCTACGGCCACAAAAATATGGAACCAATTGTTCAACCTCCCTTAGGACGAATTCCAAATTTTTATATTTGTCATGCTGAAAATCGTGATCAGTACTCATTTGAGGGTTTCGCAAACTTCGTGTAGATCTTTTAGGGTAGAAAATGGATCTTATCACATTTTGAACAGTCATGATCCCTGTAAACGATAGGGCGTACGACGGGGCGTGGCTGTGAACGTAGCCAGGCAAATTTCTCACCACTTGTAGAGAGCTCACGATGACATTGTTGGGACAGGCCGCCATAGACATTTGTTGGAACAGGCCGCCCTGGATGCGCTTCGAACCGCGCCGCGTCACACGCTCTTTCGTTTACAGGGATT